CAACCTTCACACCGCAATCCGGATCTCGTCTTCGTCTTAGCACGAGTGAGATCACCTCGTGATCGAGTCGCCGTATGCGAACTCGTCACCATAGATTGGGAAGTTGCACTCCGTTGCAACGCGACCTCGATACCACTTAAGGATCCGCGTCAGGATCACACCGTCATCGACTCGCAGGAACGCAAGTCGACCTCCGCGATACTCATAAGCGATCTCCAGAAGGGAGATCGGAAAGACTCCGATCCCGCGACGCATAGGCGGCACCGACTTACCGCATCCACGATGGCGTTAGAACGAGCCAGGCTTGTTTGATTACAAAGAAAACTCCGAGAGCTAAGATCCCGGGTACGAGGACCGACGGCCGCACCGCATACATCGAACCGCATAAATCTCCGCGATAGGAGATCGTCACCGAGACAATACCATGCGTGCAGCTACGCTGCAATCTTACCGACCGCGTGCATTGTATTACCTCGAAGCGCAACTAAACTCAACGCAAGAAGTTGTCAACAAGAATTAAAGAGGCGAGACGCCGAGAAACGTCAACAATACAAACTCACGAAAACGCGATGCTTATACCATCCGCGTGCCGCGTACCGCGCCTCACATTTCGCGAGCCATCGTGTAAACAAGCCTCTGACAGACAGTATACAAACGACCAAAACCAACGGCATTGACACGCATTATTTGATGTAGTTGTAATCATCATAAGCTGATTATTTAAATATATTGTTAATTTTGTTATTAAGAACACTGTTTCTAAATTATTCCGCCTATCACGAAGCCGAACCGACGAGCGATCCAAAGCGCGACGCATCGCGGTTACAAGTACTGCTTTTATTTTTTATATAATAAATGATTACTGTTTACATTTGTCTTTATTTTCAGATGATATTGTGCAATCACACAATCTTTTATTCATTTATTACGTAAGAATTAAAAGCAGTACTTATTTTATTAACTTTTCATTATTTAAGCAACATAATACGGAAGAAGGTTAAATTCTGATATTGTTCATAGTTGATACTTATGATTTAAGGTTGTCTTAAGTACAATCTTAAGACGTTGTAAACTAATCAAAATAGAGCTGTATGAGCGTCTTAAAAGACATTACTTATGAATACTAATCACGGACTAGGTACACGCGAGTGAGGTACGCGCGCCGGTTTTGAGCGCCATTTATTTGTTAACTTTAACACGTTCTCCTGCAAAAACTACTTGTCGGACGCAATTTTACTAAAGGAAAAAATTGTTTGTTTTAGCATAGAATATTATGTCCTGTACTCTGAATGCGGGAATTTTCGACCACCCAGTATACAGACATCTTACTACATGCACAAAGTACACGTATATGCGTATACGTATTTTTCTTTCGAAAAATGAATAACACAGTTAAATAGACAAAATTTTCCTATAAAACTTTTGTATGAAACATTTTTGATGTTTCATTTAGTTTACGAAATATATTGAAAAAATTAAAAATTTCTATCTTTGAAGGATAGTTTCATTCTTTTAAACTATTTTTCAGCATCAACTAAAATTATCTAAATTCATCTATTTATCTTACCTATATTTGTGCAAAATGTAATGAAGCACTTTTGCTCCGGGCACTACGATATTACGCCCGTTGCCCTTTTTTCTTTTTTACAAAGATATAATTATGTTTAAGTTACAAGTTAACAAGTGTTTAAGTTACTAAATAATGTTATTTATGTATATAGTTTTAAATATATTGTTATCCGAAGGAAACTTGTTAAGACCCTTTATATCCCGTTTAACGGATCGAAAACTTGAAAGTATCGCTAAGCACCTCTGGCGCACGCCAGGCAACGCTCGCAGTTAAATACGCTTGAAAAGGTGAGCTCGTAAGGCTCACGGCACCGAGTTCACCGCCAGTCTCCATGGAGACCAGCACGGGAGCGAACGACCGAAAACTCAGCCCAACGAGGACGAGTCGGGATTCGACCGTTGCTCCAAGATATACCATCCCTGATGACGACGTGTCGGGATTCGACCGCCGTTCACAAGCAGGGAGAGCGAGTCGGGCTTCGACCGTTGCTCCGAGACATACCGTTCCTGACAACGATGTGTTGGGATTCGACATGATTACGATAACTTTGGTCCCTCAAAATGAAAGTGATTTTCGAAAGCATTTTTAGCGAGAAATACGATAAAAATAATTAAAAAATTCTCCAATTAACAGATACTAAAACAATATCTGGATGTAGTTCCGAAAAGTACTCACCCCCGGTTTTTTTAAAACTTAGTATTCTTACGTATTTTGACGCGCTGATTACGAATATCATAGTGAAAATTGGCGACTACTTGATTTTCATGGTAAAAACCATGAAAAACCCATAAAAACTATAGTTTTTTACGTTTATCTCAGTAAATACGAAAAATCATGATAAATGTTTTAAACAAAAGCTTTAAATCTCACAGAGATAAGATGTAATCGCCATCATACTAACTTACTTAACACTTGTGAGTAAGAATATCTTAGATATTTAAACGTCTTAAATCATATATTGGAATAAAGTTCCGAAAAGTACTTACCCCCAATTTTTTTTTAACTCAGTATTCCTACGTATATTGACGCGATTACGAATATCATAGTAAAAATTGGCGACTACTTGATTTTCATGGTGAACACCATGAAAAACCCATCTCCTCTCCCTAGATAACACTCAGAGATGCCGTTCGAAAGCGACATCTCTGGCGCGATCCCGAACGCACGGTGACTACATACCACAGAAGGAGGAGGGCGTACTAGGTGGCGGCGGGACGCCGCGCGTTCGAGATCTGCGTATCTTTTCGTTCCAGAGAGAGAAAAATATCGAGAGCGCGGTCTTGCTAGACCGGGACTCGAACCCGGGTTTTTCGTTTGCCGGGCAACTGCTTTAAACCACTGAGTTACTTGACGCTCCACGCTCACGACATTCTCCTCTCCCTAGGTAACGCTCAGAGATACCGTTCAAAAGCGACATCTCTGGCGCTTTCTATTTTAGATTCTATATATTTTTACCGTACGAATATAATACTTTTCAAAGAAATGGAGTATAAAGAAAGTAACAGCGTTAACACCTATCGTCGTTGCGGTTAAAAAGTTTTTAATCTTTTTTCTTAATAATTTTTTAATAAACAATGATCGACAGCTAATGTGACGATAGGTAGGGTTAGATTAGTTTTTAGGAGGGATGCGGGGGGCGCAGCCCCTCCGCTAGTCCGTCGATATTTTTCCCATGTTGCAAATGTTAAAAATGTTAAAAATATTCTTAAAAAAAGTTGTTAGAGTTCCTTCATAACTGTAAGTCCTCTTTTCTTTATTTCTTTTCGCCACGATTCTGGGGAAATATACTGTCTACGTGGCGAAATAACCCGCAAAAGGGATTCGCAGAAATCGAGAAGACCATAACAACGCTGTTACGGTTTTATACTCGATTTCCTCGAAAACTATTATTTGTACGGTGAAAATGTATAGGACCTAGAATATTTATCTCAGTGAGATATAATACTTTTGTTTAAAACATTTATCATGATTTTCCGTATTTACTAAGATAAACGTAAAAAACCATAATTTTTATGGTTTTTTCATAGTTTTCACCATAAAAATCAAGTGGCCAATTTCTACTATGATATTCGTAATCAGCGCGTCAATATACAGGGTGAATATTATATACCGGAACACCTGAATATCTCGAA